ACTCAAAATTTTTCGTATGTAATTTGACTTTAGCTGTTTCTTCGATTTGCGCCATTCTGGATATCAACGGGAAAATGTGTATTGTTATGTTGTTTTTTATCAAATCTAACAGGCGAAAAGCGAACTGCCGAAAGGCTGAGGAGACGTATATTTGAGCCAAAAGAGTATAAAGTAAGAATTAATAAACACCAAGAATTCTCAGAAAGACTTTGAAAAATTTTGAAATGAATCAGTCTTTTCGTTCGTGTACGAATATTTTCGGAGAGTTTGTTGATTTCAGAGACAGGGATGAGCGAAGGCATAAAATCTGTGATCAGCGCTTAATGTTTAACAACGTGATCTTCCGCGCAAGAAAAAAGTCCGCTTGATAAGTAAAGAATATTCGTTGCCACACACGAAGAAGTAAATTGGCTTCGTGATGGGCAGCAGGATGAAAAAAGAAAATGTAATTGCATATATATATATATATATATATATATAGATAGATAGATAGATAGATAGATAGATAAATATATATATATATATGTGTGTGTGTGTATGCAATATATATACACATATTGTATTTGCAATACGTGTGTGTCCGAGTGTTTATTTAAACATTGATTCAACAATAATAATGGGGGAGTGAAATAAATATTTCCACACAAGGATAGATAGATAGATAGATAGATAGATAGATAGATAGATAGATAGATACGAACAGAGTGAGATAGATAGATAGATAGATAGATAGATAGATAGATAGATAGATAGATAGATAGATAGATAGATTTTAACTTCCAGCCTCCACGCAGTGAGGAGAATGGACAATAAAAGAATAAAAGTATTCAAGGAAAACAGAAAAAATTGAAAGTTTATTTTTAGTAAAACCGAATATTGTGAATGGCGTCGCATTAAAAATTTTGAACATTGTAGGTGCTAGAAAAGCCATAAACCGAAAGAGAGTTTCACAGGTGAGAAGTGCGAGAAAAGAAAAGATCAAAATAGTTGTTACATCTGGCTAGTTCAACAATAGAATGTTGAGAACTACCTGTCAATCTAGTTGTACGCTTAATTTCATTCAGTCGAAGCACCAAGAAGGAATGCTCATCAGAACAATTTCCGTGAAAATGTTTATAGATAAGACAGAAGGAAGCCACGTTACGGCGATGAAAAACTGATTGAAGTCAAGATGCCAAATCAAGATCGACACTTCTTTGGATTTATTGAGAATATCGAGCAGGAGAACGAGACCAGATATGACAGTAATATTCTAGGCTGGGGACAAATGAAACGACAGGAAATGAAAGAATTATAAATTGGTTTGTTTTACGGTATATCAACCTCAATGGGTTATTTCATACCGACATGATTTTTATTGCTGCTAATATTTTTATCTATCTATCTATCTATCTATCTATCTATCTATTGGTTTGGTTTGGTTTGGTTTGTTTTACGGTATATCAACCTCAATGGTTTATTTAATGCCGACAGGATTTTTATTGCTGCTAATATTTTTTTATCTATCTATCTATCTATCTATCTATCTATCTATCTATCTATCTATCTATTGGTTTTGTTTGGATTGTTTTACCGCATATCAACCTTAATGGGTTTTTTAATGCCGACATGATTTTTATTTCTAGTAATATTTTTTTCAAAAATGTATTGCTAGTAATTTTTTTACAAAAATGTATTGCTGGTAATAATTTTCTAAAAAAATATTGCTGGTAATAAAACCTATTTTTATACTTTCATAGTGTTTTAACCCCTTTTTGCGGGGTTAACTATTTGCCCATTGCTGGGACACTAACAGGCGTTACTACCCCGGGTCAGGGTGGACCTGGGAACAGCAGTAATTAAGATGTAGTTCCATGCTCCACAAAACTTCCTGATCCAAGGCCTTGCTGTCGGATGTAGTTTATCGTCATACCCAGGACGGAGTACAAGATGGAGTCTGGTGATAAAAATCGTCTTTTTTGTTTTATTTTAAGCATTCCACCCCAAGCAAGGCGGGAGTACCACTAGTACGGAAAGAGTTAGAGAGATTGAGAGCAATAGTAAAGAAAAGTTTTTAAGTAAAGATTATAGAAAAGGATGGGAATCAGGATCAAAACATCAGAAGATGTCGATTGATATTACATTTGAATATTTGAAGATTATAGTTATCAGGGAAGCAAGTAAGAGGAAGGGAGTTCCATTGCTGGGAAGTGCAAGAGAAGAAACTATTGGAGTAGAAGAGGCGGTTATATTTAACCGTTTCAATAGAGAAAGAGTGGGGCGAAGATGCCAACTTAGTAACACGCTTAAATTCATGCAGTCGGGGCAGCAGTAAAGATAGATCGTAAGAGCAGTTACCATGAAAATATTTTTAGAAAAGACAGAGAGAAGACACAGTGACTGGAGTCGAAACACCAAGTCAGGACCGATCACATTGATTATCCGTCTTTGGATTTTGTTGGGAACCTCGGGATGGACAGCGGGGGCAGCAGACCAGATATGGCAATAGTATTCAGTGCAAGGACGAATGGTAGATTTGTAGATTTGATGGATGAATAGATGGATGCAGTTAATTCCATATAATCGCCCCACTTGTGGGAAACGTTATCCAAAGAAGATGCAAAGATTTGCTTTCCTGGAGGCTCACATCAGCCATGTTGATGAAACATAGAAAATGGATAGATAAGGTGTAGAAAATGAATCAATAAGTGAATCTGAAGAGACTAGTAACATCCCTCCAAGATGAAGCACGCGCCAAAGAAGGCCAGGCGTAAGACAGTCTCCGACAGAAGACATGAAAACCGTCCCTTGCTAACTGTTGAAGCTTGGATAAGCATGGAATAATAATAATACAACACAAAATGTACGTAAACAAAATGTATTGAAACAAGGAAAATGTACACAATATTTACAGTTAGTTTTGGCATATTCTTGGGAAGACTGTTCCTGTAGAATGGGTTGACTTAATCGCAGTCGGGCAGAGTCTCTGGATTGGATCTCTTGTTACTTCCCCCGTCTTCCCGGTACCAACCCATATTTATATATACTCCACTATGTAAATTAGGTGGATCGTACCACAACACTAACGAACAAAGGTTAACTCCTGATTGTTATCTATGTGAGCAAGACTTCAGGGAGGAGTTTTCAGAAGAAGTCCACTTACCTTCAGAAAGGTTTAGTCATGTACCTACCGATGCCATTGGTTTTATGATACGAAGAAAAACTACGGCAGAATCATTGCATAATATTATAACAGAACATAGCCAGTGTTTGCAGTTTATGGGTTAGATTAAATAAACCGGATGTGCTGCCTATGGATTAGCGTACCTATCTTCGAGTGCATGTGAACTCAATGGCAAGGGACAACGGTAAAGTGGCGAGGGGGTTGAAACTAATCGCGGGAAGAGTTGATTTGCAACTATTTGGAGGTGTGGCTCTGTTAATTTGGAACAATTTGCTTTATTCTACTACATTCCTTAAAACTGTATAAGCATGTATTATCATTTAGTTACACTATTCTAAATTGGCTACCAGTAAATTTTTTTGCTAGTAAAGGGTGTTCCAATAACTTGGACCGATTTTAAATGTGAATTAAATTTAAGCGTCTAATGATTTTTTTTTTCTTTCAGATTTCCCGGATATTTGGGTGATATTATTTTTCACACATAATTGCCATGACTTAAATAACATGATCCAATAGAGAAATAAATAAATTTTCGCCAATAACACTGATTTATTTACAACTGACTTCGATCCGTATTAATGAAAAACGCTTAGATATAATCCGTCTTAATGAAATACCTTTTGCATGTCAGATCTTATTTATTAGATGACCTGATATAAACTTCTTCTTTTGGTCATTGAATTTTTTCCTATGGCACAAAAATACCATTCTAATTAGTATCAGTAAAAGTTGGTAGTCTCTGTCACAATAATGAACTTAATAGAATTTTCTCTGAAGCATATCTAAGTTTTTTTTTTTTATATATATACAACATGGCGATTAAATAATAGCAGTTTTGTTTTGGAGTCGTCTACATTTTCACCTTATTCCCTGGCCCGGTTAGGTATTGATTCGAGGTCAATTTCAAGAGCAGCTGCCAGTTTTGCTTTATCGTACATATCAGACATGCTACTAAGACAAGAGTAAATAGCTGTGTCATAAGGCATAGTTGGTTTTGGAAACTTATGACACAGCTATTTACTTTGGTCATTGTAGCATGTCTGATAGGTACGACAACGTAGAACTGGTAGCTGCTCTTGAAACTGACCTCCAATCAGTAGCTAACCGGGCCAAGGAATGGCGTGAATGGCCAAAACCTAGTTTGGCACTACCTCGTTTATCTGATGAATATGGAAAACAACGTAAGTCCAAGAATAAGAGGCCACGATGCCAAACCCTTCAAGGTATCTAAAGCTACAATCCAAGCCAAACTCAGACATGACCGTTAACGCATCGGCACTAGATCTAATGAAGACCGTGTAAAGTGGCATTCTTTTAAAATTCACCGTTCATTCGAGCTTGTAGTACTTCGTCAAAAAAGGTAAAAGGCTAATATGACGATGTTCGAGGGGAACAGAAGGTTCAGCAGTGTTCTTAAAGAGGGACTGCGGAAGAGGATTTCGAACAAGCTGTAAAGCAAGAAGCAGCGAAGCATTTATTTTAATGTTTGGAGAGAAAAAAATGCAAGTTCAGGAGCAGATTTCCTTAGGACATTTGCAAGGATACCGTCAAATCAGCATGACTTGTCAGGATCTAATTTAGAGTTGATAGCAGAAACCATAGATGGGGTGATGTGGATATCACTCTGTAGAAATTCCGTTCTAGAAGAAGAATCAGATAAAGATAATCCTAAAGAATTGGGCGTGGCGTTGGAAAAGAATTTCCGGGCAATGCATCTTGCAGTAAAAACAATACTGGCCAAAGAGAAGGTGGATTGAGTATTTGCCATTGCTTGGCCCACACTTTAAGAATCACCAGTAATCACTATAATCAAAATTGTGAGAGGCTATCCGTTGTCTCATTCTATCATAGATAGATAGATAGATATTAACAGAAGGAAAGCGTAAAACATACATAGAATATGAAGATAGATAGATAGATAGATAGATAGATAGATAGATAGATAGATAGATATGAATAGAATGAAAGCGAAAAAATACATAAAATATGAAGATAGATAGATAGATAGATAGATAGATAGATAGATAGATAGATATACGCAGAATGAAAATGAAAGAGATAATATTAAGATAGATAGATAGATAGATAGATAGATAGATAGATAGATAGATAGATATGAACAAAATGAAAAAGAGTGAAAGATAGATAGATAGATAGATAGATAGATAGATAGATAGATAGATGTATAGAATATTGAGATAGATAAAAAGAAATAAATAAATAATTGCCTATATAAATAAATGTTAATGCATATCAAGACGTTTAATTACATACATAATGCACTCCTGTATGTTTACATATGCATACCAATGTCTAGCGGCTAGACATTGGTATGCATATATCAACAGCCTAGCCTGACCATAAGTTTGTACAATGTTAACCTATTTTGGATAGCCATAAATGTCTGTACGTACGTGTAGGCGCCTCCCCATGGCAAAATAAGCTACAACAAAATGAATAATATAAACGTGTTTTTGCTAGTCATGTAGCTCAGTACCCAAAATATTGTCCTTGTGCCAGACAAAACTAATGCTCGCCTGAGTGTAAGTATTTCGTCCTAGAAATAGTTGTTTGTGTTCTGGCACCAATTAAACCCCAGGATTTCGAATGCAGATTTTCAAGGTACAAAATCTTTTCACCTTTTCATTACTGACAAAACGCAATTAATTTTTTCTATTTCGTCTTGCGCTTCATGAAGTCTATCGTATCAACAATGATATGCATGCGTGGATTGTCTTGACTTTTGAAAATGTACATATATATTTAAGGACAACAAACACACTGAATGACGCCCCCCAAAAAAAATGCTTATTACCAGAATAGGTATCAGCTTCAAAAGACATCTAAAGATCTTCTGATTTCTTATGCCTTGACGTTAACAGCGGGCTCTCTAGCTGTGACCCTGAAGCTAATCCTGTGCGAAACATTCTTTGAGATGCTGAAAATGCCTTTGCCATCAGAAAAGAAAACTGTCATGAAAGGATGAACCTTTTTTTTTTTTTACTAAATGTTCACACGATCAAAGCCCCAAAAGCCACCTACGACAGAGGCTTGCTGAATGATGTTGTTGTAAGGACGTAAGATAAGGAAGTAAGTGCAAATTAAGAGGCTATGTAAGACAAATAACTGTTGACCCTATATTTGAGAGAATGGGACGTTCTGGCGTATCCCATTCGGTGTGGACGATTCGGCGTGGACGATTCGGCGTGGACGATTCATCGGAATTTTTCAGCAGAGGGACGATTAGGCGTCAGATTACTACTTCGTCGTTATAGTCAAATTTGATCTCTCTCCCCCCCCTCTCTCTCTCTCTCTCTCTCGTCTAATAGTCAAATTAGTAGTCAAATTTAGTAGTCAAATTTTCCCTCTCTCTCTCTCTCTCGTTTAATAGTCAAATTAGTAGTCAATTTAGTAGTCAAATTTTCCCTCTCTCTCTCCTTCCCGCCCCCCCTCTCTCTCTCTCTCGTTTAATAGTCAAATTAGTAGTCAAATTTAGTAGTCAAATTTTCCCCCCTCTCTCTCTCTCTCTCCTTCTCTCTCTCTCCCGTTTAGTAGTCAAATTAGTAGTCAAATTTAGTAGTCAAATTTGCTCTTTCTCTCTCCCTCCCCCCCCCCTCTCTCTCTCCCTCTCCCTCTTCTCTCTCTCTCTCTCTCTCTCTCTCGTTTAGTAGTCAAATTATTTCATCATTATATGTTCGAATAGTTCAATTTAAGAAACAGAGTAGTTGGAGGCATTTTTATATTAATTTTTAGATATCCTATTGAATTCTTAATTGATGTTGCTCATAATTACGAAATAAAGAAGTAATTTATAAGATTAAATAGCTGTCTATATTTCTGAGATGAGGTATTATGTACACTATTTACATTGTTCGGATTATTGTTCTCATCTTGTCGCCAAGGTTGAGATCATAGAACATCATTGGAAAATTCGTAAACTTAAGGAATCATCACATATGCTAGGCCACAAAAATCTCCTGAGCTGACCAAGCATAGAAATGAATACAATGTGGGAACCAGTAATAAGGAGTGCCAGAGAAAAGCGATAATATAAAAAAAAATCGCAATATGAGCTATGGTAAAAACGTGTATTGATAACAGCAAAAAATCGCAATATGAGCTCTGGTAAAAAAAATGGTTGCTCAGTTCAATACCTGGTTAAGGCAGTGGAGAACTTGGAAAGGGGAATTAACAGGAGATAACTGATGACATCAACTAAAACATGTGACGTGGAACTAGAACAGTCTACCCCAGTGAGCGAAATAAAGGATTCAGTTCGACATTCCAACCACCTGAAGATGGCCGGAGCGTACAACGACCGAAATGTTGTAATAAATATGGCGACAAAGATGAGAACAATAGTCCGAATAATATAAATATACGACTAAATAGCTTTGCTATGCTTTTTTAATTTTCTTTTGAAATACAGTATTTTTAATTTAAGTTTTTGTTATATTCCGTGCTAGTAAGAATAGATACTAGAAAAACAAGGTGGATAAGATAAGTAAAGGTTTATTGTAAAAACCAGTACAATAAGAATAAAGGTAACAGTTATACACAAGGTCGTCGCAAGTCAATCCAGCAGTGAGTGCTACTATTGGAAGGTCGGTAGATCAATAGATCCCAGCTAGTTGATATTTACCAGTCTCCCCACGAAGTAGGATGTGGCACAACGCCGAGTTTAAAGTGGGGCCTTCCGAGACCGTAGGCTCAACCAAAAATTCTCCGTAAACCCCGCATAAACGGGTTCGGGTCTGTTTACCTCCTAGGACGAGACCTTGTCATTCGTCATGGCGTAGTCCGGGTTCCTCTCTGCCCGAAGGCAGATAGTTCGAAAACACCCAAGATCTGAATAACAGATCCAAGCAAGTATATTTAACTACCCCCCACGAGGGTTGCATATAGCACAAGGCCGCTTTAACGTGGGTTCTCCGAGCCCGTAGGCTCGGCCAAAAATATTCCTTTTTCGAACCCGCATAAACGGGTTCAGGGGCAGTCTACCTCCCCGAACTAGACTCTGCCCTTCGGCGGAGCCTCGTCCAGGTTCCTCTCTGTCCGAAGGCAGAGTTCAACTGTCTAGCTGGAACAGATCCTACCAAATCTCTGTAGTCCGTTGAATTACAGATACTTATAGGCAGTTACTACCTATAGTGTAATCACTCATGGGGGTGACAGGTTATTCCATTACATCAGCTTTTAATTTACATTATTCCATTAGTATTTTATTAGGATCCTTAATTCCCTAAATGAATAAAAAGTCATACTGAAATTTAAGTGTTTTCAATACTTTTATCCTTTTCTTGGAGTCTGATGCCTAAATGGCTGTGCTGAATGGTCCAATTATTTTTCTGACGCTGAATCTGTGACGCCAAATGCGCTACGCCGAAACGTACCAAAGAGCTTAAGATTGTAGTGATTGGAGAAGAATCCTGTCGGGTGTATGTCCCACAATATAGGGGTTCTCAGGGAGAAGACTAACGAAGGAAATGGGGATGATTCGACCCTGTGGATGTGGTATGATAGATTTTAGCTGTGAAAGTCTGAACTGGTGGGACTGAAGAATGTTTTGTCTGTATAAAAAGAAGATGTAGGGTTGAAAATAACTTTTAACCCACATGATCGCGTAAAACGATTTTAAACTCTGCCAAGTATGTAAAGTTAGAATTAAGCAACTCCAGGTCGTATATGGCGGCAATATATGACGCTTATAAAGATGGCAGGAGCCAGGTATTTTCTGGAGCGATACAGGTAACTGACTATTTTTCCAGCATCTTTATATATGTATCTTATATATGAGGTTCCCTACACACGTGTCCACCTTATTCAGAAGAAAGCAAAACGCAGCATTCTTCTAAGTGCAAGCCCAGTTCCGACACAAGAACTGACCGATCTGTATTTTACGACTTATCAACCCATTATGGGTTATTTACATTGTTACTGTTGTCCTCATGTTTATTGTCATATTCACCACGTTTTTTTTTTGTGATTGGAATTTCGAACTTTATTTCGTCTAGTTCCACGTGCCATGCCTCCGGAATTCTCAGTTATCTCTCTTTAACTAAACTCTCCAAGTCTTTGTTCACCCCTGCAGCACCCGAAGGGCAGAGTCTCGTCCAGGGAGGTAGACAGACCTGAACCCGTTTTTGCGAGGTTTACTGGGAATTTTTAACCGAGCCTACAGGCTCGGATTGTCCCACATTAAATTCGGCTTTTTGCCACATCCTACCCCGTGGGGAGGTTGGTAAATATTACTAGCTGGGATCTGTTACTCAGCGCTTAGCTGTTATCTAACTCTCTGCCTTCGGACAGAGAGGAACTCGGACGAGGCTATGAGTCACTAGATTCAACAAACGCTTTTATCTACTGGGCCATGTGTCCTTGAGGACATCAGTGTACGATTTTTTTGGGAATTATAAACCTAATATCTCAATAATCATTTTTTACCAGATCTCATATTGCAATTTTGTCGTTGTTATAGATTTTCTTTAGCGCTCCGTATTACGGGTTCCCATTTCTATGCTTGGTCGACTTAGGAGATTTCTGTGGCCTGGTATATGTGAGGATTTCTTAAGTTTCCGTATATTTCAGTGATGTTCTCTATTATTTCAACATTATCCCACGAGGCGGTGATCTCTCTTTTCCCTTCATATATTATTATATTAGATTATAGCTGAGGGACGTATAATTGTATAAAATGTAACAAACCCGACTAAAGTTCGAACTAGGCGCTCAAATTTCTTATTCCGAAACCCTCCTTGGGATTGAGAGGTGTTTCTTCATAAATATATTACACTCTCAATTGTACTATGCACATGTTTTCACACAATAATATCTAGTGGCGTCTATTAGATATCAAGTGACAACAAGTTTCCCAAATATTCTTGGTCTCTTGTCAATTATAGTCTCGTCGGGTTTCGTACTCGTTTAAACTCTACCGAAGATTTTTTTTTTCTGGACTGTTCCAAGTGTTCTAGTTAAGATGGTGTTAGGGCGACCCTCCTTCTCATCAGAATGGACTGATCTCTCTACTACTAATAGGACAGTTCTATAGAGTTCTGGGAGATCAGGTGACCATCACACTTCCGTTTCTCTACCGGAAGATACAGTTGGACTTTATACTCTTTCTGACTGTTACTGACTAATCTGCGTTCGTTTGACTACTAATCTCTCTGTTGTAAATACCTCTTCAGATATACCAGTATTTATGTGTTTGTCCTTATTTCAATACACGCACGGGGAAACACTCATCATCTCATATGGGTAAGACAATTATCTTCATATTTCACATTTATTCAGTTTCCTAGCAAGATTTGCTATTAGCCATCATTATCCACGCAGTCATAAGACTCCAGAAGATACTTACCAAAAGATTCTTCACAAAAGATCCTTACCAAAAAAAATCCTTACAAAAGACCTTTACCAAAAGATCCTTACCAAAAGATCCTTTCATAAAATCCTGACAAAAGAGTCTTACAAAAGAGCCTTACCAAAAGATCCTTACAAAAGAGCCTTACCAAAAGAGCCTTTCAAAAATCCTTACAAAAGAGCCTTACCAAAGATCCTTACAAAAGAGCCTTACCAAAAGATCCTTTCAGAAAATCCTTACAAAGGTCCTTCCCAAAATATCCTTACCAAAAAAATCCTTACCAAAAGATCCTTACAAAAGACCCTTACTAAAAGATCCTTTCAAAAATCCTTACAAAAGATCCTTACCAAAAGATCCTTACCAAAAGAATTGTAAATTCAACAACAGGAATCATCCAGAAGACAGCATTACTTAAAAACGGAAAAATTCGAGCATTGACGAGGCTTGCTGTCACATGATCAACAGTGAAGACAAGCGGATACTACATGAATTAAAAAAAAAAGGTGTTAGATCGAACATAAAAATGATATCAGTCGAAGAGATTAATGTATTTATCCATTGATAGAGTCACGTGCAAAAACATATAATTAAAGTTTATGTCATTTATTTTCAGATTCCCAAAATCCAAACTCCATTACCAAAGAAAACTCTTTGATGAAAGAGAGAATGATGGGAAGCTGGTAAAAGCACCAATGAAAATAGATATTTGGCAGGCGGGGGTGGATGTGGCATGTAGTTATTAACAAACTTAACAAACTTATCATATTCATGCATATAAATGTTCAAATATACATGATAGATAGATATTTGCATGATAGATATATAATGAAACATAGTTCAATAGATAAATAGATAGATAATAAACATAGATACATGAATAATGAACAGATAGATAGATAGATAGATAGATAGATAGATAGATAGATAGATAGATAGATAGATAATGAACACATAGATAATGAACAGATAAATAACACAGATAGATAATGAAATAGATAGAATGAACAAATGAATAATGAACAGATAGATAGATAATAAACAGAGATAGATAGATAGATAGATAGATAGATAGATAGATATTCTGATAGATAGATTGTTATGTTATGGATGGATAGATGTATATCGACAGATAGAAAGATAGAAACAGAGACTCTTCAAAAACATTATATAATGGTTTTAACCGTTTTCTTTCAATTTTTCAACATATTGATGCGGAGCACATCTGTCCATACCAAACCATAAAAATCCGATCACGAAAATATATATCTTCAATATTACTCGCTTACTTTTGTCTTACCAGATTTTGAATTATGACACTTTGTGTCCGTTGACTATGTTCACTATAGTCTATGAATATAGAATACAGCGCAGTACGTAATCTGTTCATGAAACAACGTTAAAGATTAACACTCACGAGTCAGACACTCTACTGAATCTGATTACATCGCCAATACCACCAGCAGCTGTTCCGTAATTCTTCAATCTTCGATATCAGAGGTTGGCAGTGATATTTAGCCACGCACCCACGAGGGTTGCATGTAGCACAAGGCCTGGATTAACATGGAATCTCCGAGCCCGTAGGCTCGGCCAAAAATATTCCCTATTCGAAATCGTATAAACGGGTTCAAGGGCAGTCAACCTCCCCGAACTAGACTCTGCCCTTCAGCGGAGGCTCGTCCGGGTTATCAAAGGCTGACAGTGAATATTCGGGAAAAACATGGCCGCCTTTATACACGTCGCATTGAATATTTTGAGCCTTCTGATTGGTTAACCCTTCTATTGGTGAACTATAAAATGAGTCAGCTCATTTTGGCAGGCTCACAAGTACACCAGGGTACCCAAAAATTCCAAGTGTCCTCCACTTGCTTTGACTGACTTCAACCACCTAATTAATATTCACGAACTTTGCCAAATTTAAAAGCAAATAACATCCTCGCCTTTGTATATAAATACGTGCAGCAAAATAAATCCTAGATTTCAGTGAACGAAACGCATCAGCTAAAAATATGTGCATATATATTATCACACACACACACACACAGACACACATATATATATATATATATATATATATATATATATATATATATATGTGTGTGTGTGTGTGTGTGTGTGTGTATTAGTATTAGTTTTAATCCTTTCAGGTCCACGAATTCATTTCTTAGTGGCTGTAGAAAACTGATTAAGAAGAATTCCCAAATTTTCTTTCAAATACTTTTTTTATTTTCCAAGTACTTTCAATTTCATACCATCTTCAGGGGTTGCATATCTAAGGATGTGATATCCGTTAACACCGTAAATTCGTGACTTGAGAGAAGCAAATCTAAAATAAATACACATAATACGTTTAAATTGTTTAACCAAACATGGTTGAATCAAAATATACTGCCCATATATATATATATATATATACACAAATGTAAAAGAAAGAAGAATAAAATTTCAACGTTCAAAACATTAATTTAAAACAGTATTCAATACAAAAGTAGAGCAAAAATGTTTATTATCCACTGTTAAATTAGAACATGTAAATATCCACTACAAAATTGTAAACTTTGTTTCAATGTTAAATCAACGTTTCTTCAGGTGACAATGATGGTACTGTTGTAATGTAACAGTACATAATATATATATATCTATATCTATATATATATATATATATATATATAGATGGATAGATAGATATGTGTGTTTATGTGTGTGTGTGTGTGTGTGTGTGTGTGTATTCTAGTTGGTATTTTTGTGTCTGTCTCTTCATGCCCGTGTCTTTAATTCCTGAAGATGGTAATGGAAGGAAAATGAGAAGTCTGTGCCTTTATGTGTGTGTGTATCAAATTCTTCGTTCGTTTTGCAGGATTTGATGGTGTCGGTACGTGTGTTGACTGTTGGTTGGGTGTACGCTATTGGTGTTGTGTTAAATTCTACAGTTGAGTAAAAAATCATGTAGATCGGAAATTTGGGATATATGTGCCTGTTCCTTTTGATTATAACGGGCCATGCTGGGAGTATCTGTAGCTTGCATTCTTTAAGTGTGTTTTTTATGAATGTTGATGGCGTGTGCTTATCAGGGAGAGATTTATAATTAATATTCCTTCTTTTCTTTGTAATAAAAAGTATCCTTTTTTGGTAAAGGAGTCTATGTCAGAATATATATGTATATAAAAAACATATTTGGATTCGAATTATATTTTTTCGTCTCGGATGCTACTTGAATTTTACAAAAAAATAAAATAATTTTTCATGCCTGAAGATGACTAAATGTACAGTCGAAAGTACTTGCGTATTTAAGAAAGCACTTATGCAGCGTCTAATTTTAAAAACAAGGATCATAACATTCATCTTTAAGCATCTTTAAAATGTTGTTAGCGAAGGGATTTCGGCATTTTATGCTATTAACTTTACTAATTTACTTTTTGTATGAATCATTCATTGTAATATATATATATATATATATATATATATATATATATAATATATTCTAAATTTTAATGAATTTTTAACCGCTTATCATATAGAAGGAAAATGAGTAACTACTAACATCGAGGTTCGAGCATGTCACTCTGGACTTATGAATATATGTTTACCGCCAGGTTTATAAATAGTGGTGTCAGGCTACTGACTGAAGTGATTATTGAGTGACTTTTGAGTGGAACTCTCCAGTCACATTAGTGTGAATTATTGTGTGTATTTGGGTTTTGATTTAGGATTTACAGGAAGTTAACCGCTACTAACAAGGTATTCACTAAAATAGTCCATTATCTTTGGTTGACTATTAAATTTTGTTCTTGTTAAGTATTTTTTGCGGTTGTAATTAAATACTGTTTCATTTTAACATTGAAGTCTTGAGTTATACTTAATTATTAACGGCCACCGTACGTCACAAAAAGTCCCCCATCCCCACTTGAGCAGAAATGGACAAAAATTCTATTCTGTAAATGATTTTACCCGCGAAAAAAATTTATTATCAAATCATTTTCTGACTTTTTGAGTGGATTTTCTTTTCTCTATTTCTTTCTCAACACTTTTGAATTATTCTTCTCCTCGACTAGCTGCCACTCAAGAAAACAGAGACAAATATACGTTGTTATTTAACCCATGGCTGGAGTCACGCCTTTCTCGTGGTTAATAGTGCGAACAGATTTCGCTTCTCACGCTAAAATGGGGATGCTATCTATATATCTACTTTAAGCCTTTACTATTGGCATAAGATGTTTGATGATTTGCAATCCGGAATATGTTCAGATACTTTATAAAGACTTCCGTTTTTTTTTAACACTATTTTTTCTAGCATTATTTAATGTGACAAAGCCTATATAGAGCCGTGGTCATTTTGCTGACGGCACAGCATGACATTCTATAAACATGAAAGAATTTTGAATCCCCTTTCTAGGGATGCATCGAAATATTTACTGTTGACACTTTCGACATTTGATCTTAGATATGTCGCCATTTAAACCAATCGCAAAGTCGTGGGTAAAAAAAAAGAAGAATTGCTGTAGGAGTCAAAGTTTGCCGAAGTTTGCTGCTCTTTCAGGAGATAAAAACGATGATGCTATGTCGATGCTTCATTTGACAATGGATGATTGGCTGACGGATTTTTATATGAACACGGGTTTTTCGTTAGCGTGACGAAACGACTGAACAAATTAGGCCGTTAACTTTTCTGTAATGGAGATTTAAAAACAGGTTCAGTCACAAGGAATCAACGGTCTGTAGAAAAAAACGAAGTGACCCATGAATATGATGGAGTCAAAAAGAGATAAAGGGAAGGATGGGTTAGAAGAAGAAGAAGAGGAAGAAGAAGAAGAAGAAGAAGAAGAGGAAGAAGAAGAAGAAGAATTGAAATAGTAAAAGAGACAAAATAAAGATGTAAGCAGAGATACTAAGGTTAAACAAAGACATGGAGAAGAAACGAGAATCTAGGAAAACAAGAAGAAGAAGAAGAAGAAGAAGAAGAAAAAAGAGAAAGAAGAAGAAGACGAAAAATAAAAGGGGGAAGAAAGTGAATCAGAACAAAAAGTAAGAGAATACTTAAAAAAGGAAAGGGAAATAGAAAAGGAGGAAAAAGAAAAAGAAGAATGAAATTGTAAAAGAGACAAAATAAAGACGTAAACAGAAATACTAAAGTTAATGAAGACATGGAGAAGAAGCTAGAATCTAGGAAAACAAGAAAAGAAAAAGAAGAAGAAGAAGAAGAGGAGGAGGAGGGGAGGGGAGGAGGGGGAGAATTTCAAAAAGAAAGCGGCCATGAGGATGAGCAGTAAAAAGGAGAAAAGAATATTATGAAGTCAACGTCTAAAAGGGTAAAAGGGTAAAAACTGAAAGATAAAAACGGAAAAAGTAAGGCAAAAGAAGAGAAGATGTTAACGACGAAAAAGAAAACAAAATGTATTGATGGAAGATAGGAAGAGAAGTGAATCAAAAAAATCAAACTGAAAAAATAATAATGATGACGGACAATTATGAGGATGGACAAAAAAGATGATGAAGATGATGATGATTACGGATGATAACGATTATGATGATGATGATGACGGAGACAGACGATGATGGTGATGACGGATGGTGATGATGATGATGATGATGATGATGATTGATGATGATGATGATGACGACGACGATGATGATGATGATGACGATGATGGATGATGATGATGATGATGATGATGATGGAGACAGACGATGATGGTGATAATGATGATGACGGATGGTGATGATGATGATGATAGATGATGATGATGACGACGGACGAAGACGATGATGATGATGATGATGACGGATGATGATGATGATGATGAAGATGCTGATGATGACGGATCACGATAATGATGATAATGACGACGGACGATGATGATGATGAAGATGATGATGATGACTGGTCATGATTAGGATGATGATGACGACGGATGATGATGATGATGATGATGGTCATTAAGATGATGGATGATAACGATGGTGATAATGATGATGATGACGGATTACGATGATAATGATGATGACGATGATGAAGATGATGATGATGTCGGATGATGATTCATGACTGACGATGATGATGATATGATGATGATTATCATGATGATGATTATCATGATGATGATGGAAAAAGACGACGACGATGATGATGATGAAAGAGGAAGGAAAAAGAGTGAAAGAAAATGCCAAAAAAGATGGAATAAAAACACAAGAAAATAATAAGGAGAGAAAAGAAGCAGGAGACGGGGGAGACTGCGCTGTTGATATTTCGTTCTCGTTCAAGAATTGTAAATGTCAGGAACATTGTGAAGAATAGAGGTAGAAGATTCACTCAAAAATAGCGAGGCGCAGAAAAAAAAGTATCCGTAATTTGAGGACAAAAAATGAGGAAAAAAAATGATAACAAAAAAGAGAGACAAAGAACAGAACTGAAGGAAAAGATATGGGATATAAAATAAAAATAAAAAAAAAAACAGCCAATAAAAATACGACTTCAGAAAAGAAAGCAAATCGAATTCAAAAGAGCCTTACAAGCAGAGGTAGGACATTTTCAAGAAGATATCACTAATGGTGAAGTAAGAAAGTAAAAGAAAAAGAGAAACACGTAGAAGGAAAAGATTTCGTTGAAATAAAAAGTATAGAAAAAGAGAAAACAAAGAAAATCAAAAGATTGTCAAATATAGTCTGATCGTGAACATAACGGAAAAGAAATAAAAAGATTTGCACAGTTCACGCACCAATGCAGATGCGTAATCATGCTGAAAGAACAGAGGAAATCCTGCAAATATCCTTCGACTCAGGACGCCAAGAGTCTTCGGGATTTTGCGGTTTACTGTCTCTGAATTTCAGGAATAAATCCGAGCCAAACTTTGGAAAAATTACATTATTATAATAAAAAGGGGAAAAATCTGCTCTCGAATTCTAACATTTCCCTCAGTAACTTCCAACTTGAAATAAAACCTCATATTAAAATCACTTGCTAATTTAGTTGATGCAATTAAAATATGCGTGTCTTTAGGATGGAGCCGTGAAGTCTGGTTTGTTTTACAGCTCTCTTCAACTAAAACATTATGATTATACGCGCTAACAATCAGAACCGTCTCAGTTAGTCGACGTCGATTGCCGCAGACGATTAACCAGAGAAGCAGACGATGACTCTATTGCATTCGGTGAATGCTTTTCTTTATTTTATGCATACGATAAAAATGGCGCCTTTTTATTTAATTTTTAATTTGGCTCATGTCAGGTTATGATGTCTAATTATCGTCAGAAATTTTTTTAAAAATACCAAATATCTGTGGTTCTACTTTGAAGCCATTTAGAAATGTGCCAAAAAACGCCAAGAATCACGTATGATTTTAAGTTAAGCCCGATTGACAGTCATTCGACATTAAAACTCATTAATTTAATACGATATAACTATAAAATATGACTTGACTTGTTTTTAAGTAATGTTTCGTTAGCTAGTGTTGTATATGCTTAGTAATGAGTAGAGGGGTCGACCTATATTAGAGACCTTGGGTCAAAATAATCTAAGCTTATTCCATCAATTGGAATTATGCTAGAGCAGAATTGATGACGGTAGTGAATAAATAATGTATTTAATTTCTATTTATATTCTCTAATATGGTTTAAATAGCAGGGTAGACTGAGCTCTCTGGGCGTGATAGAGCAAAAATACTGAAGAACTGTGGTTTAAAATTGCCTAGCAGACAACGTGAAACCAATCCACAACCTTTCCCAAATACGGTGATTGCAATTCATAGATATTAAAAAAACGTAAACAGTAGAGAGGCAGTATTGTAAGAGGGTATGGTAGAAGGACCTATTTCAACTGCTAGGAAAACTCGATTTATTTGGGAAGGATGTTAGAACAATCCAGAACTTATATTGGGAGAAAACCGCCCGCATGCGTATAGAAAATGAATTAAATATGTACACCAAAACAGAAATGAGTACAAGGCTAGGAGGTGCCTTCACACCGTATTAATTCAACCTCGATGACGACTTTATCTTAACGTTTTGAGTCCTGACCACCGCTTTACCGGTGGAAGAGAAAAAATGACGTAATGCCTAGCTGCCGGTTGAACAGTGGGTAAACAATTCTAACTATGTTTATATCAACCGGGAAACATTACATAGCAATTATTAGCGAATTTTGACTTAAGAGCTAAGTTAGAAATATTAAAATTGTTCAGGAACGAAGGGTCCAAAAGGTTAATGGAGTTAGAGACCCTACCAATATTTGGTATCGGTGGGTACAGTTTTAACAATATAAGGTACGCAGATGAGACTGCATTGATGACAGATACAAAAAGAAAACTGCAAGAGGTAAGGTTTAACCATCCATAGTAAAAAGACAGAATGTATGGCTGACAAGGTTAAAAACAAGAGTAACAGCCAAAGATGCGAACTAATGAATTAGAGATTTCAAAATCAAACAAGATATGTTACTGTGAAATGTTTTAACAAATGATGGAAAATGTGACACCGAAATCCGAAGTAGCATTAAAATAGCGAAAGATGCCTTCCAAAATCTAAGCAAAGTAGTAAGAAACAGGAAAATTTCGTTAGAAACAAAGAAAGGACTGCCGAATTGTTATGTAATATAGTTTCTCCTCTATGGCAGTTAATACTGAACAATTTCTTCACAGATGAAAAACGAACTTGAGACAATAGAGATATGGCTCTACAGAAGGATGATGAGAATAACACAAACGAAACTTGTGGGTAAAAAGGAAGTTTTAACAAAATGGAAACCTGAGACAATTGAAAGTTTTGGGATATATAATGAGGAATGGAAAGCTTGAAAAATTTGACCCTCACGGAGTATATTTAAAGCAAGAGGAAAAGAGGGTAAAAGCAAGCAACCTGCCGAATAAGCTTATGTAAATCGATGGCAGAACTGGGATGGATAGTAAAAAGCAAATATTGTTACAAAGAAGTAGTAGCTGTGGAGAGCCATGATTACACATATTCCTTCGGTATATAGGAAAAAAGAATATCATTAAAAATAACTGCATATTTTTAAATTATCTCTAAGTTTTCCCTGTTTTTTTTATATAGACGGCACTTGAGTATAGTACTAGTTTTTACGGTGATTTTCTAAGCGTAACTTAGATATGGCACAAGGACGAAAGTATGGGGCACTCAGTGAGGATCGAACCCACTACTCAGTCGTAACTGATCTAATGAGACAATCTTGTTAACCTTTACACCGCGTCGAAGTGCCCAAATGCGAGTTTTTATGTTCAGTTTTTACTCAAAAAATGAGGCGCACTATACGCGAGTAATTATTTTGAAGAGGTTAAAAATTATACATTTTCAGTGGCCGACTGCACTATACACAGGTATTTTTTCTGAGCGGCTCCGGCAATGCACCATAACACACACTTAAACAATATCTGTTTCTCGCGAAATAAATAAATAAAAACAGTATATATGTAAAAAGTGCATTTTACTTAGAATGACTTGAATTATTATTACCTGATGTACCTCAACTGATGGGACACCATGAATTATGTACTGGTAATCCCGACAAGACGAGGCACGATGGAGTAATGGATAGCGGCTCGGATTGATGAATCGGGGAGCCAAGATCGAATTCCACTCGAATCCATTACATTCACTTACGTGCTAATACCCTTGGGAAAGATTTGAATCCTCTTCTTCTCCGTCCAGCTATGGGTAAATAGTAGGAGAGACAGGGTTCTATAGCCTTGGATGGCTATACCGCAGAAAGAAATGGCAACCTACTGCGAGGAAAAAATCTGCCTCGTCAGTCATGTATCGAAAGATACATGATCGCCTAAGCGTGTATCACGCATGGCACATAACTGACTGAATCCTGACATAAAGGTTGTCATTGGAAAGGCGATACTTCAGCGATGTAAACATTGGCGAAACAAAGATGAAGGCAAATTTGAGATAAGAAATAAATCTATTAATTCTTCTTAACGTATCTGTTGATTTTAAGTAGCAAATATAGTGGATTAGATGTTGCTTTTCATGTAGAGACAAAAAGGAAGAAACTTAGGCTATGTAGGAGGCAGGCCTAGAATAAAGGAGCTACTGCATAGACAAAAACATAAATAAGGTATCTAAATTTTTCTATCAGATATTTTGCAGTAAGTCGATTTTCTCACAATTTTGAGGTAGCTTTGTACAAAAAAGAATAAAGACTAATTATTTGTCCAGGATGATTCCCACTACAGAAATATTTGACCACGGCAGGCCTACTAATATTTCTCAGAAACTGGGTTTGCATTATACACGAGTTATATGAAAATAGATTTTTCATAAAAAATATTCAGGGTTGCACGATAAATTAAGTCGGCTTATAAATAAATGGATTATTTCTGCATCGATCGTTAACACTGCTCAGTATAATATATGTGCTCTTTGCTTGGGATACAAGTGTCACGCGCATGCCCTCGGCTTAATATAGTAAGTGTCCGTTCTGCCTTAATATTTGCAAGTTCACTTTCGTATGCTACTCAAGCCGAAGAACACTGGATAGGGGAAAGGGTAACTGGCTGATTGCCGTCAGGTCTGACATTCGAATCAAGGCAATTTTCAGGAGTTATTTCAAGTTGATTTGCTTAACATATATTAGCTTTGTAAATATATGGACGAAGTATTTGGGAAACTGAAAGACAAAATGAAAAAAAACGTATGTGCTCCTCTAAAAAAGATACTTAGTTGATGGGTTTGTTTTTTACAGTTTATCACCCTGTTGCAGGTTATTTAAAGCCAGTAAATATTTTTAGATTATAAAACATTTTTGAGGATAATGATTTGCTGATACGATTCCTACTAATTAGTAACCGGGCTTAGGGGGTGAGCTCGACGTGGTGTAATGGTTAACAAACTTGTCTGGCTCGAACAATTACGACTGAGTAGTGAGTTCGATTTTCATTCGATGCCTCATACATTCAGCCTTGTGCCACACAGGAAATCATGTGGCGAAGAAATGAAAGTCAATATAACAAACCTTACTGGCATTGGAACTCAGCTCCCCGATTCCCATTTCCGAGCCGTTAACAATTACACCAGCCGCACATCCAAGCTTATAGACACTGGTATTCCCAAGCGGTCACCCATCTATATATTGACCATGATGAACGTTGCTTAACTTTGGTGATCCCACGGGAACGTGTGTTTAAACATGATGTAGCCGTAAGTCTTCTAAAGAAGAAATTATTATTTGGCCGGACAAAATGTGTAACGTCGCAAGTGTTTTTTTTTAAATTTTTTATTTTTCATTTTGTCATTCAATTAGCTTCTCTTACAGACTCGGATATCATATAATAGAAAAATATACAAATACGTGTCACATTACGTACATAGCTAACAGGTTTTAACCTATCAAATTCCCTTAGATGCCGTATTCGGCGGTGTCTCCTTGATATAAAATCATTTGCTATGTACAGAATTGATAGAATTATATTCAAATGCGAGGGCAAGAACAGTGCAAGTTCGTTAAAGACACTGGAACAAGAAAGGCAATTTTTACGCCAGAATGGTGTTAGAAAGAACAATAGAAATGCAAAATGATAAAGTGTTCTATAAACTATTCAAAAGCATTTGATAAAGTACGTTAGAAAAATTAAATCTGCTAATTAAGATTAATTTATTTGGGAAGGATATTAGAATAATCCAGAATATACACTGAGAGCAAACCGCCTACATACGAATAGAAAATGAGTTCAGAAATAGAAGGGGGCATAAGACAAGGATGCGTATTCTCAGTGGACTTATTCAAATTTTATAATGAAACATTCCGGAGAGAACTAGGAGCCCTACAATATACAACAGCGGTGATATACCGGAAGACCTAAGTAGATCTATTTTCATAGCACTGCCTATGAAGACAGGGGAAAAGGAATGTGAACTCTATCGCACCTAATATAACAAAACTTATCCGAATTTTGATGAACAGAGCGCGCAACATAATTAAACCGGAAATAGGACAAGAACAATCCCGGTTCGTTAAAGACACTGCAACTAGGAATACTATATTCCTGTTCAGAATATGAAAAAGAGTAAGATAAATGCAGAAGGATGTATTCCTGTGTTTTATAGATTATGTCAAATATGTCTAACGCCTGACAAGACCCAAAGAGTGAGGACACATGGCACATTGGATAAAGGCGTTAGTTAGATCCAGTGACAGGACCCAAAGGGTGTGAGTTCAATACCCGGTTAAGTTAGTGGAGAACTTTCAGAGAGAAATTAACAGGAAATAACTGATAACTCATATCCATTAAACATGGCACGTGGAACTAGAACAGTCTAGCCCAGTGAGCGAAATAAAGGGTTCAGTTCGACATTCCAAACACCTGAAGAAGGCCGGAGCGTACAACGGCCGAAACGTTGTAATAAATATGGAGACAAAGACGAGGGCAATAGTCCGAATAATGTAAATAATGTCCTTGAGTCTAGTAGTGCTGAAAAAGTCACATACTCTGATTCAATAGACGAAACAAAGAAGCGGAAAGGGGGGGGGGAGAAACCTGGTGTGTATCAACTGATCCCCAAAGCTAAAATAGGATTGAGAATTATTTCCCGTGAATGAAGAGGGTGTGTCGGTGGTGTAATGGATGACGGTTCAGAATTGGAAGTCGGAGAGCCGAGTTCCAGTTCCACTCGAATTCGTTACTTAAGCGCAAATATCCTTGGAAAAAATATAAATCCACCTCTTCTCACCCCCACTAGCTAGGGGTTAATCAGTAATACTTGTATCAGTAAATCCTTATTATATAAAAAAAAAATATTTCTAAAAAATATTTCTTTGTCTTTAAATGACATGCAAAGATTGATAGGCCGTAAAAAAAAAATAAAAAATAAAAAAAAAAAATAAATCGCAGAAAAATGTTATTATTATTTATAAAATCTAAAATGTATTTCGGCATTAATTAAACAACAAAGCGTTGATAAACCCGACAAAACAATTAACTAATGCAGAATGAAATAATATACTTTCGGCAATCGAATAAAGGGGTAGATATGAATTCCAAGAAAGTTACCGTCTACAAAGGCAGACATCTGAAAGAGAATAGAATGGCCGAAACCTTTGATTATAACAACATAAGATGTGCTTGCTAGTCCAAGCAGCAAAGCCTTTAATATCAATCTTCATGTGTAGACAGACTGACGACCGTTCTAATGTTAATTTACACAATTATCTCTGTAACCATCGGTATCTAGCGAATTATTTGGAGCTTATCTTTAGATCAAGAGACTTTGTATTTATAGCTAATAAAAATTGAATGGACGTTAGTGAATTACAAGAAAAATGATTATGTTTAACTAAATATAAGAGTTTATATCTCAGAAATTTGATTTACACTGCGCTTGATTGCCAACTTCCTACAAATTATAGATCTTTCTTCATTGATTTTAAGTCTGAAGTACAAGACGAACTTTGTGTTGTCCAAAAAGATTTGACCATCGACGAGAAGAGTAGATCTAAGAAATGTTTATGAGCATTTTGTGCTTACGCCCAAGTCATGTGACTCGATGATTCCGGATGAAATAAAAACTTTATTATTCCATAATCTCGATCTTTTATTACACTTATGGCCATAAAAGGCTATCGTACGATTTGCCATGATGGTGACACGGAAAGTTTGAAACGCAATGATTTCATATTTGAAATTATTTCTTCCTGGGAATCAAACAATTAAACTAAACAAAAATAGAGAAATCTGAAGAGATTAAAATAAAAATGGACAACAGTAAAGATGAACAAACTAAGATAGATAGATAGATAGATAGATAGATAGATAGATAGATAGATAGATAGATAGATAGATAGATAGATAGATAGAATAAAATGCAGAATAGATAGAGAAATGCACCCGTAATAGATAGATAGATAGATAGATAGATAGATAGATAGATAGATAGATAGATTAAAAACACAGATTAGATAGACTGGTAATGAAAAATCCACCCGTGATAGATAGATAGATAGATAGATAGATAGATAGATAGATAGATAGATAGATAGATAGATATAGTAAAAACACAGATTAGATAGACTGGCAATGAAAAATCAACCCATAATAGATAGATAGATAGATAGATAGATAGATAGATAGATAGATAGATAGATACGTGTATTTATGAAAAGGTCAACAAAAACATAAAAAACATTTTTACAGCTGTCTGTCAATATATTATTACTTTCAATAAGTTAATTCCTACAAAATGACCTGATACTTTTTTTCGCTGTCCTTGTTAAGCCCTGAAAACTTGACTGACATAAAGATTTCTTGCTTCCGTGCCATTTTCGATCCCCAGATATCTAAATACAACTTCAACCGCCATGTTCTCTCTTCATAAAGCCGTTCTTTTATTGTCATTTCTCCTTACTAGTGTCTTCTGTTTTTATTTTTTATTCCAAGTAAACTCTTGCATCTCGCTTAAAATGAAAGCATTGAAAACATAGATAGATAGATAGATAGATAGATAGATAGATAGATAGATAAAAATGCAGTCGAGATAGATAGATACATAGATAAATAGATAGATTTGAACAGAATGAAATAGATATATAGATAGACATTCAGACAGACAGATAGATAGATGGATAGATGTAAACTAAGTCTGTTGTACGCATATCCCGTAATACGGATTCTTTTTTTGTCTGCAACCAACACATGACACAAGGTGTATTTAAGAATAGGTCACTAAATCACGCAAAGCGTTTTTACAGCTGTCCTTGTAATAAATTATTACCTTCAATAAGTTAATTCCTACAAAATAATTTCATACGTTTTTTATGCCTTCTCATGTTAAGACCAAAAATCTTGGCAGACAGCGAATTCAATCCTTTGCTTTCTCCCATTTGATGCACCCGGAATAGATAGATAGATCCCATTTGATGTATTGTATGATGGCTCATTAAACCTTCGGAGATTATTATATTTATTATTATATTGACTGTGAGTATCAATATAGGCAGTTCCAATAACCATCCTGCCACCAATATTAAAAGACGTAACGGACAGGCAAATATTGCTAAAAATTAACAATGAATGAACTGATAGAAAAAAAAATATAATTCATATCCATAATTCATAGTCCGAAGAATTGTGTTGCCGATGTAAATATTTAATGCTCTTTTTTATTATTAGTGCTGGAGTATTAAACACTTACATCGAGCATACATGTACCACACTATCTCGCAGATTGACCTGTCACCTGTCGAAATCACATCATGTACGACCAAAATATAACTATCAATCTAAGACATGTATTAGTGGATAACACCAAAATACTCAGTATTGCATAGAAAAACTCAAAACCTTCGAAGTTATTATTATACAAAATAAACAGGATTAGATTGTTTAACGGCATATTTTTATTAATCAATTCACCCCAAGCAAGGCTGGAATGCCACTAGTACGCAGAGGGTTACAGAGTGTAAAAATGTGAGAAAAAACTGAGTATTGGGGAAAGGAAAAAGATGAACGGGGTTCAAAACGATAGAAGATGGCGATTTACATTGCATCTAAATTATTGAAGAGTGTAGTTTTCTGGGAAGCAATCAAATGGAAGGGAGTTCCACTGTCGGGAAGTGCAAGAAAAAACTGTTCCTGTAGAAGTGGCGATGACATTTACAAGATCTTATGGGTCATTTAATGTAGTAATTTTATTTTCTTAAAAGCGTAGGTAATTTTTTTTCAAACATACATTGCTGGTAATTTTTTATCTATCTATATTTCTGAAATGAGGTATTGCAGCTATTTCCATTGTTCGGAGTGCTCTCCTCAACTTTGTTGTGATTTTTACGGCGTTTCGGCCTTTGTACGCTCTGGCCTTCTTCAGGTGATTAGAATTTCAATCCTAACCCTTTATTTCGTCCACCAGGGTAGATAGCTGTATTTCCACGTGCCATGCTTCTTCCGGATATCCAAGTTTTTGCTCACTTTGGCTGTCACCTCACAATTTTTTGGGGGGGGGGGGAACTCACTGGATTACTCCAACCAACGCATTTATCCACTGGGCCATGTGTCCTTGGAATAACACAACAAAAATGAGGACAATAGTCCGAACAATTTAAATAGTATAAATGGTATTTTTTTTCCCTGTGTTTTGACCCCAGTTTGGAGGTTGACTATTTTCCCTTAGCTGTGACCCTCACAGATGTTATCATCTCGAGTCTGACTCCACGCTCTTTAAAACACCCCGATCAGAGGCCTTGTTGCCGGTCACACCCAGGAGGAAAAAAACAGCCCACATTAAATAAAATATCATTCACCAGAGGATGCAGTATCTTGAAAAGCATATGATATAATTAAGGTCTTCACATATTGTAATAATATTAAAAAATAAAATTAAATAAAAAAATAAATGATTCGCATTCATTTTGTGCGGCCTCGTTGCTAATGACCGTTACATATGACGTCACGCTATACACTTTCAGACTTCTAATTTATTAAAGAATACCAGGATGTAGAAAAAGGAATTCTAACTACCACACAGACACCACATTCGTTCTTGATATAGATTGTGATGGTCGAAAATATTTGAACAAAAAATAACAAAATATGCACTTTGGACAGTTTATCGACTACTTCGAACCCAATATTCAACACCTTATCCGAAAATTGTAAAAAAAATGAAAAATATAATAAAAATTAAACAGGCAGAACTTGGTTCTTTTTAATCAAACTTGTTTAGATGAATACTTGTCACACACACACACACACACACACACACACACACACACACACACACACACACACACACACATATATATATATATATATATATATATATATATAAAATAATGGACTCTCCACGTCGGTTTCGACGTATGACAGCTTAAAAATTGAAATTTTGTACGATAATCTGAATTGTTATTTAAGACCCGCTAGTGATTTAAAAAGGAGACCGCATATGGAGCAAGAGTGAGGATTGCGAGATGTGATCACTGTTAGATTGGCTGACCTTTTAGATCTTGCTCTCGCTTCTTGAAGATGATTCAGACAAGCAGATTGAAAACTGCTGAGTCCACTAAAACACTTTGATCTCCATTCTACCTGCTCAAGGGTGTTATGTGGTATATTGACAGCTGACAAGTTGCTTTTCAGCTTGTCTTTATATATATATATATATATATATATATATATATATGAAGCATTTCACTTCAAGCAAGACGGGAGTGCCAAGAGCAAGCAAGGGGTTACAGAGGGTGAGAGCAAGAGTAAAGAGGGATGTTTCAGGAAAGGATACAGAGAAGGACGGGGAACAATATCAAGGCATCAGAAGATGTCGATTGAAATTACATTTGAAGATTATAGCTATCAGGGAAGCAAGTAAGAGGAAGGGGGGTCCACAGACAGGATTTATAGAGATGAAGCTGTTTGAGTAGAAGAGATGGCTACATACAGCCGTTTTCACAGTCAAAGGGTGGAAGCGAGATCCCAACCTAGTAGAACGCTGCATGCTGTCTGGAAACCAGTGAATATATATATATATATATATATATATATATATATATATATATATATATATAGGCAACATATTTTCATTGTGCCTGAACAGGTGGCTGAAACTGGGATTAGCTTGCTAAATTAGCGCAGTCAAAAAAAGTAACCAGCCTTCTTATATATATATATATATATATATATATATATATATATATATATATATATATATATATATATATATATATAGTATATTTTCATTCAAGCACGTTTGCTTAAATAATTTAGTCGTATTATGTCTCTTAGTTTTCATCCTTTCAAATTCACGAATTAATTTCTTGGTTGTTCTAAAAATTGATTAAGAAAAATTACATAATTTTCTTTGAAATATCACTTGACTTAAAATATTTTTGCTCTTCCTTGCCTTTAGAGGAGTGTCCTTTGCTGTGCTGATGTTGTTACATGCCTTACTTCTTGCCTATATCACACTGCCAACTTTTTCTAAGCTCTATAGTAAACATTAAATCTGTTACGAAAAAAGAACTAAACAAAATAAACACAATACGATCAGCTTTAAAAAACTGGAAAAACATTTTTACGGGTTGACCGATTGTCGATTTGCACTCTGTTTCCGGGGGGGGTGCTCAGAGTTGAAACTTCACATGATGACTCCCAATGGCCTCTTCATAAATCCGCTCGGTTTTCGCTAAAAACCGACATGCGGTTCAGACGCAATCTGGGCGTATCGGTTTTTAGGTTTTATCGATTTTCCGTGCTGTTTAGGGGTCCGTGGTCATGAAACTTCTGGACAACACTTCTAAAGGTAGACTCTAAGAGGGTGTCAAATTTGGTTGAAATGCGATCATTCCTTCTGTAAGCAGAATTTTTTCGATTATCGGTTTTTTCGATTATCGATTTTTTTGGAACCTGATTCCGAACTTAAAAATCGGGCTCCGTCATGTCCTTACGGCAGCCATTTGCAAACTTGTGTTGAAAACCGCATCGAAATCGGGTGAGAAATACGGCCTGGGCGAGGTAACAACGCCCACGACAGACACACAGACAGACAACATGAGAAATATAGATAGTAGATTACAATTAAAATTTTTAAAAGAATGAAAGCAATTCTTTTAAAAAAAATTGTTATTCATCAAAAATTATTTTTTTCTTAAGAGAATAGTGTCCATAAGCTTTGAAAAAAGCATTTCAAAGCTCTCCAAATGAAATAACATTTTATTTTTATCGATTTTTTTTTTTTTTTTTTACTATTCAGTGCAATTTTCGGTAACTGGTGGTCCTGTTTTACAAACTTAAATTTATGATTTAAATTCTCCAAGCAATCCTGCTTTTAATTAATATAAACAGTAAGTGGCACGCAATTTAATTTATATTTAATAAATATTTTTACCCAGATTTAAAAAAGAAAGGATGCTAAAATAATTTCATTCATTTGTGAATAAGTTCTGAAAGTTTCTTTAAGATCCAATGATTATTTGATTTCTAAATCAATGTGTTTTTCCCAGCAAAAAAGATTCTAAAATTCCTTTTAATAATAGGGCTGAGCTATAGAGACCAAATTTTACATAAAAAAGTGGGGAAGTGTTTATTCCACTCATTTGTGTCCAAATAGAAAGAAATGGACCAACTTTCTGAATGTTTTTTTTTAAATTGGGATGGAGCCGGACCGATACGTGCCCAGACTTGCCCGGGGCCGGAAAAAAAAAACACAAAAAAATGACATATTTCACAAAACTTTAGAAATGGGCCACAGAACTTGCTGATTTTGATTCAAATGATTGAATATATGTTTATATGTTGTTTCTACAAAGCTTACACAGAAATTAGAAAAATATTTTTGACGTTTTAAGCAAAAATAGAACGATTTTTTAAAGATTTGGGAGTTGGAGTCACCAAAGACCATCTTGACAATTCTTCCTGCTCTTTATAATGGACTGAGATATTACAATATGGACACTTTGCAAAAGTATACAGTTGATTACTCATTTGATGCGAAGCGACTTACAACAAAATAAGAGATATATATCTTGGACTGTTTTTATAAACAATCAGCAATTCATTTGCAGCAACATCCTGGCCTAGAGTTCTGTTTCCGCATTTCGTCAAAGCTACCTTTCTACAACCTCATCTGTGAGAGAGATATTTCACGTATGGACACGGTAGCAATTCGGTCAACATCTTGTTCGAATCGTAACTTTACTGCATAATGTATCAAGGATGATATAACACTATCTCAGGCCTCACTTATTACCATTGACAAGGTGACTAAGAAAATAGCAAAATTGTTGGATGAAGAAGAAAGAAAACGATTCAGTAGTCAAGAAGAAATCACGAAGGCCAAGCTTGCCGAAAGGAAAGAAAAGTCTATTTGACAGGATGAACGTCAGAATGCTATTGTACGTAAATGCAAAGCTCACAATGGCCCGTTCATATCAGTAGAAAAGTTTGAGGAAAGTATGAAAGCGGTTGAAGACAAGCAGAAAATAAAAGAACGATGTTGTGGAATGAAATACTTCTCCGAAAAAGTATGAGGAGAAAAGACTGCAGATAATGCCCTGATTTGTACAAAGTGAACCATATGACAGTGGCCCAAATGAAGGTAAACTTGGAGATGCTGTTGTTGGGTAAACATGAAATTGAGTGTAATACTGATGCTCCATTCCCAGATGTAGAGATCATGTTCAATGAATCTCAGGAAGATGCTGGTGAATCTGCTCAACCGAATGAAGAAGACCAAATTGCTATGAATGAACCATTCGTGTCCTTTTGGAAAAATGATAATGGAAGAGACTGGTCTATCAGTATGACTCGAGGAAAAATTGGCACAGATGAATACCTGATTGACTATTTTGAATGCATGCCAAATGACAAGATAATGAAACTGTGCCGATACCCATCCAAAGATCAACAAACGAACGTAATATAGCAAGACACGATAAAATCACCAGATAATGAAGTAAAAGTATACATAGGAGTAACTGAAGGACCCTGGAAACAAAGAAACTATACACACAAAACATTTTTCACAAATAGTAAATATGCGAACAGTACAATGCTTTCTAAGTATATCTGGGAAATTAAAAACGCACATCACACCAAAAATATCTTGGAAAATAAGGAAAAGATCATCAGCCTACAACAACCAAATAAAAACTCGCAAAATTTGCTTGGAGGAAAAAATAGCTATCATTACCTCCCCAGACCAAAATAAATTATTAAATGAAAGACCCGAGCTCATCGCAAAATGCAGACAAGAAAACAAATTTTATTTCGTTACTTAAAAACCGAAAACGGAAAAAATAAAAAATTAAAAAAGTAAAATAAATAAATAAAATAAATAAATAAACAAAATGACAATAAAATAAGTAAAATAAATTAACCCAAACAAATTACCAAACCACACTCGTTAGAATAGACGAAATAGAATAAATAAATAAAAAATAAAAACAAAATCAATGAACCCAAATAAATAAAGTAAATAATAAACAAATTAACAAACCATTATGATCAAAATATTAGTTAGACTATAAAAATCAAGCCAAAAATAGGACGAAAAACATAGTTATAACTGTTATATAACGATAAAAAATACTACGTTACTTAAAAATCGAAAACCGAAAAGAGTAAATAAAAATAGACAGTATTATAAATAAATAATAATAAACAAGTAAAATAAATTAATCTAAATTCATCCAAATAAATAAATAAACTTACAAACCGATCCCGATAAATTAACCGTTAGAAAAAACAAATAAAGATAATCAATCCAAATAAATATATGAAGTAATAAACAGATTAAAAACTGCTCCCGCCAAAATAATAATCAGAATAAACTACAACAATCAACTCCAAAATTGAATAAATAGCTTCAATTATCTTCCCAAGCAAAAACAAAATTATTAAATAAGCGATCTAAAAAAAATTTTACTACGTTAATAAAAACACCGATTAAAATTAAAATAAATATATAAGATCAGAAATAAAAATAAAAAATAAAAAATAAAAATAAATAATGATATGCAAAATAATTTAACCCAAATAAATAAATAAACAAATAAACGACTTCCGGTAAAATAATCGCCAAAATAGACTACCCACGATGCACCCTGACCTGTATATATAAATAGCTGAGAAAAATAACAGCACTCGTGGCCTGACGATTGCGTCTAGCATGAAACCGACTGTCGCCTCTAAGTGTTGACTTCAATGTTAACTTTTATATTTACACACGCTCTATCACTGATATTGAGCACTTTATCCCATAAATATAGCACACCTTAAGACTATATTTCTTCATGTATATATATATGTGTGTGTGTGTGTGTGTGCATGTATGTGTGTGCGTGTTTAAGGAATAGATTTTTCATTATAAATCTGACATTATTTTATTGTATAACCGTTAATTTTAGTGCATACCCATTTTAATAGATGCTCTGTTTGGTTATTAAACAGTATATTTATTTATTTCCATCTACCAGCCTGAATAATCGAGCAAGTTTATTAGAAAAATATGTGCTCTCCGGCCGGATTCGAACCCGCGTTCCCCTACGGAAAACCGTCATTAGTTCTGATATACTTTAACCTATCGGCTACAAAAGAATCTAATGGCCAAGCAAAATCCTCATAGGAAAAAAAAATCTTTAAGCAACAAAATAAATATATATATATATATCTGTTCAAATTTTCTGACGACTTTCCTCCCTACTGTGTTCATACTGAAATATACTTACTAAATACTATGACATATGTCCAGAAGAGCCATTTAGAGACTTTTACGACGCATGCGTAAATATTTAGATGTTTTGGGTAATCCTTGCTACCTTGAATTACGAATCGAGTCTTTCTATGACGGAAATTAAATGATAGAAAGAAGAAAAGCAATTTTTCCCGCCGTAAAGACTCCAGTATTTATCTCTTGAATTGTTTGCATTAACAACGATGATGGATTTGCGTCCAAACTTTTATTCCTTACTTGTTTTTATTGTTCGTTTCGTTCAGTTATTGTTGGATTGGCTGATATATCCGACATATGTGTGTGTTGGATAGATTACGGCCATTCCTGTAACTTTTCTTTTTTTTTTCTTTTTTGCAATTCCATCCTTTGCGCCATCTTTATATTTACTTGCTCTTTCTTTACATTTCTATCATCATCAATTTAGACTTTTATTTCTATGCATTACCCCCCCGTCCTTCTTCTTCGATATATCGCTTTTCTCGCTCTTTATCTCATTGCTATCTCTCCCCCTCCTCTTCCTTCTCCCCTCCACCTCCTGCCCTTCCTTTTCTTTTTCTTCTTGGCTTTATTACTTTCTCTCTCTCAATCTCAGTGCATTCTCTCCTCCTTCCCCTCCTCTTCCTCTTCCTCCTCTTCTTGACTTTATTACTTTTCTCTCTCTCCATTTCACTGCTTTTACACCTCCTCCGTCTCCTCCACCACGACCACCTCCTCCTCCTTCTCATCTTCTTGGCTTTATTGATTTTCTCTCTCTCTCTCTCCATTTCACTGTATTCTCTCCTCCTTGTCTTCTTGTCTTTATTATTTTTCTCTTTCTCTATCTCCCTGCTTTCTCTTTCCCTCCTCCTTCTCCTCTTATTCGTTTTATTCTTCTTCTTCTTGGCTTTATTACTTTTCTTCTCTCTCTCAATCTCACTGTTTTCCCTTCTCCTCCTCCTTCTCTTCTTCTTCTTTGTTTTCTTACTTACCCTCCTCTCTCTCTCTCTCTCTCTCTCTTTCTCTCTTTCCATCTCATTGCTTTTTCTCCTCCTCCTCCTCTTGGCTTTATTACTTTTCTCTCTCTCTCTCAATCTCACTGTTTTCTCTTCTCCTCCTCCTCCTCCTCTTCTTCTTTGCTTTCTTACTTCCACCCCTCTCTGTCTTTCTCTCTTTCCATCTCCTTGCTTTTTCTCCTCCTCCTCCTCCTCTTCTTCTAGGCTTTATTACTTTTCTCTCTCTCTCTCAATCTCACTGCTTTCTCTTCTCCTCCTTCTCTTCTTCTTCTTTGCTTTCTTACTCCCCCCCTCTCTCTCTCTCTCTCTCTCTCTCTCTTTCCATCCTCTGCTTTTCTTCTTCGCTTTATTACATTCCTCTCTCGCTTTCCATCTCACTGTTTTCTCTCCTCCTCTTCTTCTTGGCTTCATTCCTTTTCTTTCTCTCTTTCACTTTTTTATTGTTTCTCTTTTTCACTAATCATTAACTTTAATCTTTTTTCCGTTTTTTTTTTTCTTCGTTCAATCTTTCAACATTACAAAATATGATAGATTGCCACCACACTCCTTCCAAAGATTTTCACATATCAAAATAGGACCAAAATGTCCCAACCTCAGAAATATTTGGGGGGAACTTCTTCACTGGACCGAAAACACTTCTTTTTTTTATTGTTTCTTTTCCAAAAATTATGAAGTTTCTTCTTAGTTTTTTCTTTTTCATTTTCTTTCTCTTTTATTTCCTTTTTCCCAACAATCATGAAGTGTTTATGGCCATATAACGTTGAAACACCGGTTCACGCCTGACCACCAAAGGCTGGTTGGTATCGAGATGGGTAATCGATTGGGAATAACAGAGACGCTAATCTTGTTATGTGTGGGTGATGTAATGGATAATGGCTCAGCATGAGAAATGAAACAGCTGAGTTCTAATTCCGGTCGGGTACGTTGCATTCACTTACGCGCAAGTACCCTTTGGGAAGGTATGAATCCTATTCTTCACCATACGAACTATGGATTCAATTGTAGGAAAAGCATTAATTATCATTATTATCTCCAAAGAAATTGCTAACACAGTCTTAATTGAACAAATAGAAAAGAATTATTCTTCTAATACAAAAATATATTTCGGCTTTAAATAAACAACAAAGGGGTGATAAGCCGTAAAACATCAATCAATCCATCATGAAATATGTTTTTTCTTTCTTTTGATTGTATTCACTTCTTTTTTCTTTTTTCCAACAATTTTTATAGATATTATTTTTTCCTTTTTAATTTTTTTTATTTACTTTTTTCTTTCTTTCTTTCAAAATAATCATAAAATAAATTCAGTTTTATTTTATTTATTCATATTCACTTTCTTTTTCTTTTTTTTTTTGTCTATATTTCTGAGATGCGGTATTGTTATTACTTACATTATTTACATTGTTCGAACCATTGTCCTCATCTTTATGACTATATTCACGACATTTCGACCGTTGTACGCTCCGGCCTTCTTCAGAATCTGTAAATATTTCTGAGATGAGGTATTGTAATTATTTAAATTATTTAAATTGTTCGGACTGTTGTCCGCATCTTTGTTGCCATATTCACGACTTTTCAGCCGCTATACGCCCCGGCCTTCTTCAGGTGATTGGAATTTCGAACTGAACCCTTTTTTTTTTTTTTTCGCCCACTGAGTTAGATTGTGCCACGTGTCACGTGTCATGACTCTTCCGGGTGTATCAGTATCAGTTATCCCCCTTTAAGTCAACTGCCCGGGTTTTTGTTCACGATTCTTTGAGCGAAGTCACTTGATTCAGCCAAATTTTTATCCACTTCACTATGTGTCTTTGAAGACGACAGTGTATGATTTTGGGGACTTATAAACCTAAT